GTAGATAAAAACTTTGAACACAAATGTCAATTCTTATTATAGAGTATAGACAATTTTTTAGTTTTTTTTTTTATGATAGAGGATATTACTTTTTAAGACGAGCAGACGGGTCGCCTGATGGAAAGTGACATGAACGCTGCAACTCAGCAGTCACAAACGCGTTGCCGGCCTTTTAGGAAGGAGTACACTCTTTTCGTGAAGGTTTGAAGGTCATATTGGTGCGGAAATACCGCAGACGATAACCCGTTCCACAGATAGGTTGTTGGGGGCAAAAAGTATCTTAAAAAGCGCACAGTAGCGCCAACTATCCAGGTGATGAGGATGAAAATTTTGTCATGTGGAACAATGGCGGCAATTTGCGGCAGGTATTAGTCCGAACAATTCCTCGGAGCACTCTCCATGATATATGCGGTAGAGAATGCAGAGTGAAGGCACATCTCTACGTAACGCCAAGGGATCGAGCCGATCGGAGATATTTGGGCTATCGACAATTCGAGTCGCTCTTCGTTGGATGCCGTCCAGAGGGAGAAGCTGGTACTGAGGTGTCCCTGCATAGAGATGAGAACAGTATTCCATATGCAGTCGGACTTGCGCCTTATAGAGCAGAAGGCGGCGGGCCGGAGTGAAGTCTTCGAGGCCCATTTGACCTTACCCTCTAAGTGACCCTGAAACTAGACTTCCCTCGATATGTCGAGACCTCGGTATGTGATCGGAATCTTCACGGAGGCAGTTAGGGAGGTGTTCTCAGACTGAGGTGATTTGAAAAAATATAATGTAAATTTGTAAGTAAATATTGTTTACTTTTTGCGTCTCTAAAAATTTATATAGTGACGTACGTATATGATTTCACTTATGTGTTATATCTGCAACCCAAAACGGTAGGACGCTATCCTCTTTTAAAGATCCCCAGTCAGTTCCGAAGCTAGTTTGACATGCCCTTTTAATGCTCAGATAATCCGGGGAAGGATTGGGCACCTGGTGACGTCACTCAGTCGTTAAAAACAACTAAAGAATTGCTTAACACCGGTTTTCTGTGAGGCCGTGATATCACTGCGGTCGAGCTTACCTATTTGTGCCGAAACAGATCTCTCTCACAGTTTAAGTTTAGGTTAATTTAAGATATGGTTATTAAAGTAGTTAGGAGAGAGAGATGAAAAGCTTTAAAAGAGGTCTAAAAGGAGTTGACTGCACGGATGGCGTAGTGGTTTAAGCGGTCGCGCACGCCACTTGCTACTACGCTAAGTGTTGTGGGTCCGATCCCCACATGGGACGACACTCTGTGTGATCCACAAATTGTTGTTCTGAGTCCGGGTGTTCTTTGTGTCCGCTTCATGTATGTTTGTAAAGTCCCCCGCGACACAGGATATATTCCTAATGCGGGGTTGTCTTTTTATGAAAAAAAAAAATGCAGAGAACACTTTTTCTGATATTTAAATTTCATAATTTTACGTTTGCCCATAAAAAATCTCTTAATAACTATTAGATAAGAAGATATACGACGTGAGCGGCACCTTATAATGCGTGGGAGCCCAACCAGGTTGGTGTCCGAAGGGGACACTTTATTAAGATATATAGACACTTTATCAAGAAGTGATGCGTCCTGTCGCGTGAGTCGTGACACTGAAACAACACAGTCATCAACGAAACACGTACAAGAGTACAATGGAATCTTTATAACTTTATACTCTTTGAATATAAATAAAGGAAGTTTATATTCTAACACCTTGTAGATAAAAATTTTTAACAACTTTAATAGAATGATATAAAAACTGAAAACCTTTTCAATTAACTATAACTCTCATATATCATGGAGAGTGCTCGGAGGAACTGTTAGGATTAATACCGGTTGCAACTTTCCGCCATCGTTCCACACGACAAAAATTTTCATCCCCATCATCTGGATAGTTGGCGCTCCACTACTGTGCGTTTTTCGAAACACTTTTTGCCTCGCACAACATATCTGTGGAACGGGTAATCGTTTGCGGTATTTCCGGACCGATACGACCTTCAAACCTTCAAGAAAAAAGGATACTCCTTCCTAAAAGGCAGTCAACGCGTTTGTGACTCCTGAGTTGCAGACGTTCATGAGCCGCGATGGTCACTTTCCACCAGGTGACCCGTCTGCTCGTCTGCACCCTCTATTATGAGAAAAAACCTCTTCTATATCTTTCATCGTACTGAGCAATACACTTATGGGGTAGAAATACTTTTTAAATCAAGCTGCTTCAATCTTGAATTCATTACTAAATCTCGTATGTTTTAGTTTCTATTTTTAATTGTTTAGGTAAAACTTAATCTGTATTCCAAAAAAAAATTAGGTATGACAGGGATGACACTGAACTTTGAGAAAAAGTATAATTAAATTGCCTAGTGAAGTCTTTAAGTAAGAAATTATAAAACTTCCTGGTGTCTTTTTTCAATGTAGATATCATAAAAAACTAAAGGTTTTATCGTAAATCATTTTATGAATATGGTAATAATAACTCCGCATTCGTAATGCAATCGAACTACAATTGCGGATTTTACTTACAAATTCAAGCGCACTTTATCGGTTTGTTACCATTCATTGTTTATTATTTGTTTTCGGTCACTTGACTTGCGAGCCGACACGACGGTAACAAGCGGCAGACTTGATTTTATTTTCCATTATGCAAAACCCGTGGCTTGATTCAAATTAACTTTCATAGTACCCAGGCCAAAAGGGGATGCTTGTGTGAGTACTAAGTTTTCATCTTTAACAATCGTTGCTACACAGGAGAGCTCATGCTTGTAATAAAAAACAAGGTAAGTGCTGTTCAACAACATTAGTGAAAACAGTGATTGAGACGTTTGTGTTTTTTTGTTTGTATATTTTATATAATTTACTCATTTATCATTTGTTGTAAATTAACATTGGTTAGTATTTAAATCGATGCCAAGATAATCTATTGTTGATTGTGCAAGGTGCACGAGCCATTTCCTAAGATTTAGTGTATTTTTATATTAAATTTTATTTTGAAACTTTAAGTAGTAATAAAAAGTGACTCCATAAAGTATTTATTTTAATGAACTAAGTATAAATTACATACACATTAGTAAACACACGTTTCATGCATAAATAAAATCCACTTTTATTTTTGAAATCAAATTCTAATGAAGAATAATCTAAATCCCACTAAGCGGGATCCGGTCTAAATTCTCAACCATGCCGGCTATTAAATTTACGTACTTTGTGTAAGTCGCATAACAAAATAAACTTGCCATCTCGTTATTTAAATCGATATTAATAGTTAACACAACAGGAATAGCGCAAAATGAAATATAATTGAATTAAATTATTATGATATTAAAAGCGAATGAATACAGTTTCTATCCATTACTCGTAAGAGGAAACAAACGACTCCGCTTGTCTTCATAGACAAATATTTTGGACGAAAGATTTATACTATAAATCTACGTTACTGCTGTGTACATCTTTATTTAAATTCTGACTAACTTGGATTACTGTGCATATCGTGTAGCATCAACAAAATTACAATAATATTATTATTACTAACTCAACGATATTGCGTTTTTCTTCTAGGTCATGAGAATGATTACTTTTATTTGTCATCCCATCAAAACAATCCCAGAACTGTTTTTTTATCTAGTAATCATATGATTTTTGTAGCCTTTGTGAAGAATAACTGCATTACAAGGTGACTTTTCTACAGAAATTTTAAAATCCGAATATCCTTATCCGTCCAACCATACATCCATTTCATCTTTAATGTTTAGTCATAATGTTTTATCAATTCAATAGGTAGGTAATTTGCTTCAACATGAGATAAATTATACCACTGTTTTTAAGATAAACTTAAAATCTTAGACACTTAGGTATCTGTATCTACGTGATAAAGATCTTTTGATACAATGATGCCAAGCCTTCGGGTAAAGGCAAAAGAATATTTACTTCTCAACAGATGTGTCACTCAAATATACCTATGGTATAATGGTTTAACATACTATAAAACGGGAGCTATATGATTCTTACATAATCTCTTAATTTTTTCTGTTTTTTAGACTTAGGTAAGTTCATAATGAATTTTATGCATAAATATATGTACATATATGTGTCATTTACACATACGAGTATATGTTTCTCCTCTGTTGAATAAGATCTCTATAGAATAGGGAATGGATTATGCCACACTCTACCACGCGGGTGCAATATTCGTTGACAGACTGCTAATCATTTAAAAACACTTTTTATTATATTTCAATAGTTTCATTTTAATAATAAAATCCATTACATTATTTTAATAAAATTAAAATACTAAACAGATTTAAAGTGTTTCGTTCTAAACAATCAAAATACATATTGTATACATTTTACGCAAGTAATAATAAATTCGCAACATGAAATGTGTACTTAATTCGTTGACAGGCCACCGTCTGTAATGAGACCTAGAAACTTACAACTGGAGTTTGAAGTCGAAGCGTTCTTATGAGATTTTTGTTGTAATGAGTATATTACCTTCAAAAATAACCAATGCGTACGCATATTTTTATCCAGACATTACATTTTTCTGAAATTTACCTATTATTAGTTTATTGTCATTAGTTACACAAAAATTTAATCCGTCCTTTCTTATTTTCAAAAATAATAAATCATATCATAATTCGGAATATCTCGTGACATAAACTCAAAATATATGATGGCAATTAAATTACTCAAACCTCAAGTAAATTGACGTCAGGTCTCCTCACGTTCTCGTCTGCTTTTGTTAGTTACTTACAACGAAAGTAACATTAACATAATGTTGAATATATCCTCAAGAGAATTTGTTAACTTTGTATGTGTAACACCTAAACGAATTATACATATGAGTATATAACTGAACCTGTAAAGATATTTGATGTCGTGATTAAAAAGTCAACCACGTCTGTCATTTATTTTTCATTTACTTTTTTTTCAGATTTGATGTCATATCATTACTATATTCATCGTCAAGGCAAATTTAATCTATAAACAGTCAGTCATGACGGGACAAAAATATGTATCTTCAATACTTGACATGCCGTATCATGCGCTGGTGGTATATGGATACTTATATTGCTCCGGAAGTATAATTAGAAGCAAGATTGTTCTCACAACAGCAAGCTGTATTGTAGCAGGACCTCAGGAAAAGATGTTTGTGAAAGTCGGTAGTAATAGTATTACTGATTTAGGGTGCGTTAATTACAGATCTTAAACTTTATTAATAGGTATACAAAATTGGGTTATTCACGTCTCATCATACTTATGTTACAATAAGAACTAACGTAGCAATGGTAATTCTACATGACATCTTTTACCGAACACTCCAACTCAACCTACAAAGAAACTCTCAGAACTCCCGACAGACTGGACTAGTTATGAACATAATATATAGTATGTGTATACAATATGTAGTCTCGAAGTCACAAAAAGGAGCTGTGGTTCCGTTAAATTTTGAAAGAAGTGTATAGATCCACTGCAGTCTCAGGTATATCTAGTTGTGCAATCATTATGTTGACATATTTCTGCCAAATCAAATTTGGCCTCTCAGGGAAAAATTACTTAAGAGAATCGTATTTATTTTAACTTGAAATTATTCAAACTATATCAGGACCCGAAATAATAGTTACGTGTTCAGTTAGTTATAATTACAAATTAATATGTACTTTGTTTACCAAATTCCTAAAAAATATTATTTCAGGCAAGTGATTCCAGTTATACATACAAAAATTCACGAATACTTTAGATACTACGGTGCCTTAGATAATGACATTGCCTTGCTGTTCCTGAAGGTACGGTTCATCTCTCATAAATTTAATTACTACTAGACGTCTGGCTGTGAGAGGGTTACCATAATGTAATACAGTTCAGGGTTGATACATACCTATGAGAAATTTTGTTTTGTAAGATTGTACAAACAGTAGTGGAATATAAACACATGATTAAGGAACAGCCCTGATGTAAATCAATAGGTTATAAATAACAAAAAGTGTAATTAAGTGTAATTATTATTATTTTTCACTGAAATACAACATACACTCATCACACAATATTTGTACTGGGTGGGAATCGAACCCATGACCTCCGGCTTAGCAGTCAGGGTCACTAACCTCTGAACCAACAGGCCGTTTAATAAAATAAAAGCTGCCAACCACTATCCTTTTACTGCCACACTGTTTCTGGTTCTTGTTTTCTGGATAAATTCCAATATACTGTCTCTGGCATTTTTTGTCACGTTATCATAAAAACAGTGAATTATATTCAACCTAATTAAAATGGATCTAAATACAAAATAGAGCAATTGGCATAGACAGTGACGATGTCTGTGAGGTCGATTTCTAATTAATGAAATTGGAAATTATAACTATTTCAAATAAGCACGGTTGAGCGTCTGAGGCACTCAGGTAATTTTCGGGTGTCCTTGCCCTGTCTAGAATATTGTACTAAACTGTAACAGTTCTACAACTAGACACACTTTACCAAATTGAGTGAACTCAGTCCATTAAAATTACTGAAATAACAAATTAGACTGGATATCTTGTGGTTACATTTAATAGATTGGTTATTTTAGTACTAACGTGGCGGTTCTCCCACTGATGTTTGTCATAAAAATGTTAAGCCGTAGAGCAAGATTTTATCTGTCTAAATGAAAAAATAAAATCTCTTCAGACTCTGTCCGGTCGTTCTATTTAATCAATAATTACAAATTATTGATTTGTAATTTTGGATTCAATATTTACGTTATAAATATAGAGGCACAGATAATTTTCTCAAGTATTGTCTGATGTATTAAGAGCTATCTTTCTCTATATCTCCATTTATAATTGAGATACGCGGTTAGTTCTGGTATAAGAATATATGGTATACTTGGTGAAAGTGTTCTCTCTTTAAGCTTTTGACTACTTAAATTCGTTAAATTTGAACGTAAATAAGTAGCTTCATAACAGTACTGGAATGCAGTACGGGTCCTCTGTCCTTTATTGTTAACACCTTGCCCTTGTGTTCTGTCTCTACCGAATCATTTTAGGTTAAACAGGACTGTGAAGGTCCCCTGAAATGATGTTGCATTTTTCATCATTTACCTTTATTAAACCAAACAATGAGTGGATTTCCACTTAGATTATTTCAATGAAATTGCAATTTAAATTTAGTTTTTGAGAATATTTATATGTTAACAATACTTGTAAGTTTTTGGTCTAAGGGTACCCTATTTGTTTCTTTGGCAATGAATGCAAAATTTCATGATGTTCCGTATTTATCTTAACTACTGTTAAGACTCGAAAGTGTAGCGAACAAAAAAACTCGAATTCGTCGTAATTTTAATATTAATGTTTAGACTGATCATCCGTGTGGTAAAGGATTAGGAAGACGTCACCACCCCTATTCATCCCGTGGGTGTCGTAATAGCCTTCTGAGGTAGCAAACTACGTAGGACAACAGCACTGTAAAGAGAAGGAAAATTTGACCCCGACCCTAAAACAACCCGTCTGACCAATGGAGCATAGTAGGCTAATACCTCCTTTCTAAAGACAAGCGTATGTCCAGCAGTGGACTATTATGACTACTATGATGTCTGATGATCATGATGAATGAAGCTTTCGAATTGTAAACTGTAGACAACTGAAAAATGTACATAGGTCTAGATAGGAATCATCGAAATCTCTTCATATTATAAATACTAACTGACGCACTCATAGGTCAACCGCTTCCTATGCGATGTCAGATTATTGGGCACAACATCTATCTGGCGTCTTCTAAATAAATGTGTGTGTTAAACAAATAGGTGAGAGTAAATCATATTTCTTTTTATAGGAGAACGTGATATTTGGCGATAAAGTGAAAAAAGTACTTCTAGTGCCCCAAGAAACATATGTTGAACCAGGTGTTGTTCTCGAAGTTTCTGGTTGGGGAAGCCAGGTAATTTGTGGTTGGGTATCATTGTTATCCATTCTGCAGCAGGATGCCATTGTTACGAAAAACTAAAATTATTTATGTGGGCTGGCTCTATGATGACTAAAAATATTAATTTAAGTTTCGTATGTATTACAGCACCTATAAATAAACAAGCTTTTTCTATTTTCAATGTTGAAAAATGATTTAGGTCACGTTTATTGTCACTACTAAGTTCCATCGAGCCACAACATTGTGTTATTATGGACTAAAACTTTTCTCATTTAACAGTAGTCACAGTATTTTTTTAAGTGCTAAAAATACAATGATCATGCGATTTTTAGAATTTTGTCCAACTCATTAATGTATGTGTGCATAAACTGTCACATTTGCTAGCGCTATGTACCACTCTTTAAACCTAAAGCAGCCTTAGCCAAGCAGCAAAAGTATTATATATATATACTGGTAGATTATTTTTTCAGCTTACTATGGTAATAATATTCTCTAACGGCCAAGTTATGGAAATATATTTAAATAGTATTTCCAAACTCTTTTAGGGGTGCAGAATATAACACCATTTATAACCTTCCTCCTTTATTTTTTATGATACAGCTTGGAATATCATGCAAACTACCTTTAAATTGTGGAACCATACAAAAAGTGGCACACCATCTATTAAAATGTCTATTAACCTGTGACTAAAACAACAATTTAATTTTATAATAGCGCCATCTTTGTGTTAATGCTAGCGACTTACGCTTGTTTGATGGTTGTTGGCTTTAAACTGCTTTTAATAGATGGCGCTTAATTTAATTACATGTTTTATTAAAAGTAGAAGCTAAAATAAATACAATACTTTTATATAAATGCAAATAATATTGAACTAAGTATAGAAAATTGAAAAAAAAATCAAATAATTCTTAAGAACTAAGTCCTCATTAGTCAACTCAAATAAATACTATTATTTGTTTAAAAGGATTAAACCTGCTAGTGGGTAACATGTCGACAATTAGAGCCAGGAGCAATTTAAAAAATCATAATAATAGGCACATCTGTAGTCATTTAGGTACCTTCTTTTTTCATAGAAATGGTAGTGTTCAATTAACTTTGAAGAATCCCTTTAACAGTGGAAATCAAAGGAATGGGAAACACAGCGTGCTTATAACGATTCATCATTTAGACGCCATTTTTTAAAAGAAAATCATGTGATTTAAAAAATACTTATTTCAAAATGAATGAAATGTAACTATCAGAACCAAGGAACAGATATAGCAAAGCAGATAATCACTTTTTAATACTGCGATACTTTCTTGTTGCAGAACCTGCCGCAAAAATATGCATACCTTCTTTTGTCATCAGATATGGTCGTCATGGATAGAGATGAGTGCCGTAAAATTCATAAAAAAAAAATAACTCCTTCTAATTTTTGCGCCAAATACGAATCTGTAAGTTTTCTTTTACTTTCAATTTTTACTTTAATTTATCACTTGTTTCCATTAAATATTCTTCATTAAACTATTCTTATTAGGCACTGCCCGGTTCTCATAGAAGCTAACCTTGTATATATACAAGGATATCACTACCCTATTCCCTACTTATAGGGTACATAGCTTCTATTGGAACAGGGTAGAGCTCTTGGGATACTGAGTAAGTACTCTGGTAGCAACTACCGTCTTCTCCGCTTTGCATAACTTTCTCCGCTCTACAGATGGGCCATGATTAATAAGTACTCTCATCGTAATGTACGTTTCTGCTTATTACTGGACATGATGACATGACAGATAAAAATAGAACGTGTTAATTACCATTGGAATTTCATGTGTAAACAATATTTTAATCTATACTTTCAGAATCATGGTTTGAGCGATATTGGAGGTCCCGCCACCCATAAAGATCTGCTGGTCGGCATTGTGTCTTACGGCGCCTGTAGCGAGAAAGGGCCATATGTAGCAATCCTCACTAACATAAGTTATTTTAATAAGTACGTATTACTATATATATAGGAATAAGAATAAAAAGAAACAAGAACATGAGAAATAAACAAACACTAACCTGAAACTTTATAAGTCACCGTCGTATATTGTAAAAGTTTCTTTTAAGAAGTCAGCATCTTTTTCGACGTCTTCGTTGCTAGTTTTACTAAAAACCACAAATTAAACTTAAAGTTCTTTAAAATAAGTGTCAAAAATCTCAATACTACGCTCTTTTTTATGACCGCTTTTCATTCCATACTGCTGTCTAAAACGTATTTTTAAGTGAATTACGTAAAAAATAAAAATATTTTCTCGTAAAATTATATTGGCAGTCATGATATTTTTTGTTATTGTGTTCAAGATGGATAATGCTTAACACCAAGCGATTTTTGGAAGACAACTGCATTCCAGACCAAAGAAAGAACATAACTGATACACCAACAATTGATATGTTGGATGAAGTGCAGATTGGACTTGTACACCGAGGAATTCCTGGCACCTTATCTAATTAATTCATCATCAGCCTATCGCAGTCCACTGCTGGACATAGGCCTCTCCCATTGCACGCCACTTAGATCGATTTTGATTTTGATTTTCAATTAATTACTGAAATAATAATAGCCTTATTTATTATTTCCAGCCTCTTTCTTTATTTAATATAATAGAATGTCATCAATGTTTTTTTTATTTAAAGTTTTTTACAGCATTATTGCATATTTTGGTCCTTTAAATATATAAATATAAATTCATGAATTGAATAATGTGAAAATAAACTTAAATTCTAATAATAAATGATTTTTTGATTGTGCATATTTTGTGCATATTTCGACGCTTTTTAGTGCATATTTGCATGCATATTTCGATGTCTAGTCATTACTGTTGGTTACAAGGGTTAGCGCTTTGTGTAAGGTCTCTAGTGATTTCGCCAAGGTATCGTACGATGCGCTTGAACGTTTATTAATAAAGTAATTTGCTATTTTTATATTTTGATCTAAGAATATACCATTGTAAAGAAACGTCCAATAAAATTAAAAGTTTTTCAAAAGAAAATTTTAACGACTATGTAGTTTGGGGACGCTAACCTACTCCTACCAGTCACATATAATTATGTACATATGTAGGTATATAGGATAGAAACAAGAAACATTATACGTTGAAGGTTTTCATTTAATTAATATAAATAAAACCAACGTATTTTTAACGTATTTATTAGGTAAATCTTTGTTATCAAACTGTTTCCTTAAATCGGTACCTACTATCGCAGAATTGTTCAACGAAATCATTAACACGTTTTATTATCCAACTCCTTAAATGCCATATGTTTGCGTAAATACTTGGTTTACCTTTAACAGCGCAGCCTTCGCCATAGGATGTCAGACCCACCAACATACTGCAAGTTCATGTACATTAATATAGAAGTAATAACTTCACACGTCTCACTAATTAGGACGAGCCTTTATGTAGTATGTAGTCATTCCACTAAAAACCACCCCGACGGCCGGCCTCAGGTGTTATTTATCCTTTCCTTTAACCTCCTTTAACCTATCCCAGGGGAAAACACCCCCCACCCCCGTCTTATTGCAATCAGGCCGTCATCCTATCCCCTACCGGAGCAATGAATCTGCCACCAGAGGTCCCCACTCCCGTCGATGGCTGGTATCGTCGCCGAGGTTCTCTACGTTCGGGATCGGCCCTCTCCCGATCCCGTTCAGCGGTCTCTTTCTGGAGTATTATAACTTCACAGAAAGAGACACTGTGCCCAATGTCTCATCACCCGCGAGCTGCTAACAAACATACTTGAATATTTCTAAATACATGGATATTATAGATAAGTTACACCCAGACAGAACAAAACGATCGTGCTCATCACACAATTATTTGTCCTGGGTCGGAATCGAAACCACGACCTCCGGCTTAGCAGTCAAGGTCACTATCCACTCGACCAACAGACCCGTCAGATTTTAGTTAAAACGATTCTTATCAATATCCCTCTCACTTCTTTTAAAACGAAAAGAAAATGCATGACTTGTATTAAAAAATTAATCATACTTATTCCAAAGAACACCACCACCCGAATCTCCTTGGCATGTGTCACGTTCTCCGTATCCGTATAAACAGAACGTGTCAGCTGTGATGTTGTGGCCGTCCAACAATTTAGAACATTCACTTGGGTTAATATAATGTAAACGCGCCATCTTTAGACCCACTTTTGATACTTCACCTTTATGCTGGAAACAACAAATAGTTACGTGTCATAAAACACTGAACCCTGATATCATCACAGCACATAAACAGCCTTTAATAGTCTCCTTAGATAGGAAGTTTTGGTCTACTATGTGGCCAGACGGGTTGGTATAGGGTTAGTGGCAAATTTTTCTTCTCTCTGCAGTGCTGCGTCCTGCAGAGATTGCTCCCTTAGTAGGCTCTTACGACACCCGCGGGATGGTTAGGCGTATTCTTAATCCGTCACCACACCTGATTTACACTGTCATACATATTAATATTGACCCAGGTTCCTAAAGTGAGAATTAGGCTTTAGGTTTGTGAGGAAATTTTGAAGAAATATTTTAGTTAACATATTTTTAACCTTTAACTATTGTTGTAACATTGAAGAGAAATTCAATACATTACATAATTCAATTATGGAGGTTTGAACTTCTTCTTTGAAAGTTTAAAATAATGCATAGTTTATTATTATAATGCATAGGGTTGTCACTAAAATCTATCAATCATGCATTTATTATTCATTACCTTTGTATAACCCCATCCAGTGACAATAAAATTCTCCTCTTTGTCATTCATCCATTCCTTGTGGTTCACCAATATCCCTTTTTTTGCTCTCGGTCCAAGCTTGATCGGGGTATCCACGAAAACCAATGCTATATCACATGAGAATGCCTGTTCTTTATTGTAGTCTTCGTGTATGACAAATGCTCTCACCCTGTACCGATCTGCATTAAAATCGTATGTATATTTCGCACCTGAGAAAATAAATATTGTAATTATTAACTCTTTATTATCGAAGTAAATAATGTTTCATGTGAACTTTATTTAATTAAGTGCAAAAAAATAAAGTACTGATTCTATTGACAGATGCTGTAACACGTGGTACATTGTTTTAGTGTGTAGTAGTGTAAAATTTGTAAATTAAAGTATAAAAATAAAATTAAAATAGTTTAAAAACTTAAAACTTAATAGTCTATAAGAGTGTCTGTTAAGCTCTTGCTCTAAAACAAGCCACGTGTTATCATATTAATCGCATTCTTCTCATTAGAGGCGATGGGGTTCTATCTTTTAACAGCACACCTTCGACTTTTGTCCGACGGTATCTTTTTTGTAACTCAAGGACTATTGGCCGATGTCTTAATCAATTCTACTTTCTGACGTTGATATTATTTTACTTTTATCAAAATATTCAAAATATAATGTCGAAATGACATTAAACTTTGACAGGGGCTTTAAGTTAATGACGTTATAGCGGATCTTGTGCATTTTATTGATCTTTTTCTGATATTTACTAAAAGTCTACAATGCCTAAAGTCACTTTTAAACTATTTTTTTGCAGGTAGGTAAGTAGTAGGTCTTATTCGAAGCACTAAAAAGTACCTATATAATCTAGTAATTGCTCTTATTCTGACTAATGGATTAAGTATTTCAATGTTGTTATTTTGGTAGTTTACTGTAGTAAAGCAGAACAATAACAATTATAATGAAATTCGTACAATCTTTTGCTTTACCGTAATTTAATATTTGGCGTTTTATACAATAATTGCTAATTGTATAGATAGCGTAAATCAAAGTTGAAAAATAGTGCTACAATAATTATATTTACCTGCTTGTATTATCATTTGTTTCATATCAGTACTGAATGCTAAACAATGTCCTGCCGTGACGATTGACCAACTGTTGATTATCACTCCTCCACAAAGTCTACCCATATTCAGGAACTGCACGGCAAATGGGTATGCCTCAATATTAACCGCCTCGCCACCCACAATTCTAGGCTCAAATTTGCTATGAGGAGCATTCATCTTATTACATGAAATATTTAATTGTCGACACTTAACAAAATTAAGATAGGAGAAGAAAATAAAAAAAACATTAAACATTCTACAGAACTTTAACATCGAATTGTATTAAAAAATGCACTAGAGGTAAATCTATTATTGTATAATTACTGTTACGTAACAGTAATTATTCATAAAATAATGCACTGATAGCTAGTGAAAAATTGCCAGTCATTAGAGTTTAATTATTGAATGCTATTTTACTAGGCAAGTTTTGTAAAAGAACATAGCCGTGGGAGAGCCATACTAGGCATGCCTTTTAAGTTCTGTCGTTTCCAAATTTCCCGGTAATTTTGAATTTGGAACTGTTCTGTATTCGAATGTGTTTAAATTTTGATTCTCAAAACAATTGAAAGTATTAGAATTAATGCTATTGTTTAGTCACAGCGTCAATTGGAATCTGTCAGGTTACGTACGAAAATGAATCTTTCTAAAGAAAATGCTCCATTGGTATAGTAGGCCAAAACCTCCTTTCTAAGGAGAGGCTTATGTCCAGCAGTGGAATATTAAAGGCTGTTGATGAAGGAAAATGTTCGTGCAATAATTTTCTACAACTTTAGAAGAGGCCTGACACGGCTTCAGTGTTTTGAAGAGCTAACATCTGTGTTTAATGATGAAGCTCCATATCTGCGGACTGTTGAACGCTGGTATTTAGAATTCCAGCGTGGACATACTAGTGTTAGTGACAAATCTCGCGAAGGACGCCCAAAATCCGCCTTCACTGAAGATAACATTATTGCTGTGAGACAACTAATTCTCGAAGATCATCATATGACGTATCAAGAGATAGAGGCTCTATTAGGCATCTCAGGGACAACCATTCAGAAGATCTTGCATGAAGCGCTTGGTGTGAGAAAGCTTGTTTGACGTTGGATACCGCATCTGCTTTCCGACGATCACAGGGCGGCCCTCAGATGGCCGTCAGATGGTGTAAGAAAACTCTGCAAAGGTTCAACCGAGGAGAGTCAAATCACATCTACGACATCATCAGTGGTGACGAATCTTGGATCTATGCCTACGATCCTGATTCCAAACAACAATCTATAATCTGGGTCTTTCAAGACGAGCCAAAGCCGACTAAAGTTGTTCGTTCTCGAAGCACTTCAAAGAAGATGGTGGCCACGTTCGTTGGAAAAACCGGCCATGTTGCGACTATTGCACTTGAAGATCGTAGAACGGTTAACGCAGAGTGGTATGCCACAGTTTGTTTACCACCAGACATCGCCGAACTTCGAAAATCTAACTCAAAGCGACGCATCATCCTGCACCACGACAACGCAAGCTCACATAGCGCTCGTCAAACGATTGAGTATTTGAAGCAGGAAAAAGTAAAAATTCTTGACCATCCTCCATACAGTCCTGACCTAAGCCCTAACGATTTCTTTACATTTCCTAAAATTAAGAAAACTCTTCGTGGTGAAAGGTTCCAGTCCGGTGCAGAAACAGTCGACGTCAAGTCAAGTCAAGTTCAAGTCAGCCATTTTGAACACCCCCACTTTAGAGTGGAACAAATGTTATAATAACTGGTTTGAGCGAATGGAAAAGTGTATTAAGCTACGTGGTGAATACTTTGAAAAACAATAAAAAGTACTATAAGGTTCTAAGTGTGCTTTTTTCTTCAAACGACAAAACTTAAAAGGCATGCCTCGTACACACATACAAAAAAAAATCTCTCCCTCCCACCAATTTTAGGGGGAAGGACTCAAAGTGTGGCAACGCACTTGGTCGCGCAACGCACTTGGTCGCGCAACGCAACGCGGTGGTGGTCACTTATTATCAGGTGAGCTGGTTCTTGCACCAGGGACTTCCTTTCCAGGGTATACCTGGTTCCCCGGCAATTAGTACCCGAGACATGCCACCGATAAAGGTGAGCTGGTTGCTCGTTTACATGAAGCAAACGTATACCATAAAAAATTTATTCTAAAATCTGATATTTACAAGTACATCTCGTACGTAGTTTTCGATGATTTAACATATGGTTAAACCTTCAATAGCACATACCAATCGCTATACAAGTTAGCTGAAACTCATTCGTTATTCATAAATCTTGTTTTATCCTGTCAAGTGTTGAAAAGGCACTACTTATTGATTCCTGTGTCTCTCAAGAGTTCTGTTCACCGTTCTTGATGACAATTGCCCTAAGATATCTGACTTATTGATTGAAAACGATAAGATTCTACAAAGATATATAGTTCAGTCTAGGAAATCATTTCTCCCTAATAACTGTTTCGTCGAAAATATGTTTTCGTTGCATTTATTGCAACGAAAACATATTTTCTACGTTGAATAGTTTTTTATAGCGCGAGGTGTATTTTACTATATTTTTAAAATACTCTTACAATTTTTACACTTTGTTATTTATACAGAGTATGAAAAATGTATATAACTAAATAGAATATATTTATTGAAACGTGATATGTATAAAATCTCGTTTGAATAAATATAAAGGTACTATTTAGTTAATGGCGTACACTGAACTGCACATTTTGGTTGTAATTACTTACTATCGGAGAAGCTGTGTTATGTTCTAATGTAATTGTATTGTTAAAAGAAAATGGGAATATGCTATAGGCAACTTTATTAAATGTAGACAAATTTGTCAAAATGATCTTAATCTTAGACCTCTATTACGTATATTTTAACTATGTTCGCTATTCAACTTATATATTTGTTTTATTCTTTTTGTATAATTATAAACACTCAAATTTCAAAAAAACAACCCATAAGGTAAAAAAATATAGAATTAATGACTGATCACTCACAAATTTTTAACTCCGAACCGATTGTGATAAATCAAATCAAAATGATAGGTCAACAAGATCATCATATTTTCTTATCAAATCAAAATTATTGAGGTTAATTTAATTAAGAAAAGAATTTAGTTACTTTGACTTTAAAATTATTTATCACTTTGCCGTTCCGTTCTTCTTCCGTTAGATTTTTTTTTTGGTACAATTATTTGCACCTACTAATAATAGGCAATAATTGAGCCACTATCTGATTAGCCTCTTTTTATCAAAGTCATAAATCTGACACCACATTTATTATGTACAATAAAAGATTCATTATCTGTCTAATTTTCTTTCTTATTCTCAATTATTTTTCATAGCTTCTATCGCGGGCCTTGAGCGTGGAGACCGAATTCAGAAATTCCGCAACGAAAATAACCTAACACACCCCACGTGATACATTTTAGTTTTGCCATCAATCATTTTATTTTCTAAGTTTGTTACGAAGCTAGACAATTCATATATTAGTATATTGTCAGTTGAGGCAGCCATTTAAAGCCACGCATTTGTACCTCTTTACTATCTATAAATGAACAGAAATAGATTTTGTTTTTCACATCCACGGGGCTCTGTCTTTATCTCCATAAAATCCGCTCTAAAATAAAACTGTTGCCATAGAGGTCGCACGCTAAAATTAATTAATTACTAACAAATTGGTATTATAATTTACTATTAAAATATTTTAATCAATCTAGTGCAAAATGTCTCCTTTTGTTTTAACTTCTTGTTGGCAATAGTCATCATAAAATTCCTTAACATGTTTCTGGATCCAACACATTAATACCCACAGGTTTGTAAAAATGCTTGGTTTACCTACAAGTGCGCATCCTTCGCCATGTGATGTTAGACCAACCACCATACTGCGAAATAATTACAATTGATTATTAAGATCTATTCTGAGAAATATGATCTAGTCAGACGTGCAGATGAACAATTAAATAGACGGGCAACAAAGTGATCACAAAGATTTTCCTTTTGAGTAACGATATCATAAAAAGACCAACCAAAAGTCAGACCTCATAGTCACAAACTTTTAGAAGTAGTGGTATCAATTATTTCAATTAGAAATACTAAAATAACGATTTATCATATTATAGGGCGAGCAATCGGATCATCTGACGTTAACTACAGCCCATGGTCACATCTAACTGAAGAGGTAAATGATAACATATAGGTAGAGGAGAGAAGCGAGCCACAATCTGGGGACGTTGGTAGAAAGAGAAACAAGATGGCGATTTACATGCACCTCTCTCGCACCTCTTGGCTGATTTGTTGGCCGTCTTCATTCTATTTCTACCGACGACGTCGCTATTCCACTTACACGTGATCCAATACCTTCTATCCTCTATCTGTATTATCTCTATGGATTGCTGCTCTTTGATTGTTGCCCAAAAATGGATTTTTTTTAGTCTCCTCTGTACCAAACATTTAAAATAAAGCTCTCAAAGAGATGAAATCATTGAAGAATTCAAAGATTTTTTTTATAATACTGCTCACTCATTCCAAACAACAGCACCACCAGAATCTCCTTTACAAACGTCACGTTCTCCTTCTCCATACAAACAGAACACGTCATTAGTAAACTTGTAGTCGTCATGTAACCTGGAACATTCTTCAGACGTCACATACTTTAAAGACACCATCTGAAGACCAACCTCTGATACATCACCATCCTCCTGAAATTAATCCCCATTTAGCGAAATTCTATACATTTCTATATCTACCACTTTTACGCACACACATACATTCACACATGTATATTGAGTTGTAATATAAAAACCAATAGGTGAAAAACTAATCAACAATAATCAGGACCAAAGTAAACGAACTTAAACTTAAATCTAACCGTTTTTGTAATCGTAGTCAGAGCACACATACAATCACAAAGCAATGAACGAAGACGACCATTTAAAAATCATTTGCGTCAGGAGTCAGGAAGGTTAATCAGTCAGGTTCATGCTAAAGTCTACTAAAGTGTAATCCATGAAGGATACAAATATCTCAAATAGATTTATGAATAATACTGACATGTACATCGAAGTATACAATAAACATTACCTGGGTATAACCCCATCCAATGGCAATAAAGTTGTCCTCCTGTTCATTCATCCATTTATCGTTGTTCACAAGAATGGCCCTCTGAGCTCGAGTACCGAACTTTATTGGTTTCTCGGTGAATACCAACGCAATGTCCCATGAAAACATCTGCTTCTTACTGTAATCTCCATGCATCACAAATGTCCATACATCGTACCTCTGTGCGTGCATATCGTACACATATTTTGCACCTGTCCAAAATTAATAGTCAATTATTTATAACGTTTTTTCAATGACAGTAAACAATACATTTCTGATGTTATACGAGTAGAGGGGTACTGCCAAAGTACGTAGAATTCTGTGTATAGCCTACGAATACTACGAAGTGTTTATGTTTCTAGCGTGTATGTAGATTTCTGTTAATAAGTATACATTAATAAAGTAAGCCTCGTAATCACTAATTTGCGATACGCTGATGACACCACTCTTCTTTCTGAATCTAAAGAAGATCTAAAGGAACTTTTAAATCATCTAGAAACAACTAGTCTTCGATTCGGACTTGTTCTGACTTGAGACAAGACCAAGGTTATGTGGATCGTATGTATCGTTATGTGTATAGTGGATCGAGCCGAACAAGATCCCCAACCCGCTAGATCGACCTAATTAAAGGTACCACCGAATCGACTGCAGTACATTGTGCTCGAAATGCGTAAAGCGCACAGAAATGGAGGGACATCGCAAGACGTCCAGCAGCCCTGAAAGTAAGCGGCGACGGCGAGCCGCAACCCTGCCCATCAACAGCCACGACCACTCTGGCAGGAGTGTCCGACCAAGAAGAAGAAATAAAGTAAGGTATACCGAAGCATCATATGCCACCATTACCTCGTAGTTGATCTTCACTAATATTCTAATCCAAAAGTTAGACTTATTATTTGCTCTTTAATTTTTTTGCGTGCTTTTTTGCGCCTTAATACTCAATCGAGGATGGCATAAAAATTACATATATTTGAATGTTGTATACGCGTAATAAGCGATATACGGAGAAGCACACTAGAGCATTTTTCATCCCGAAAAAAGGACTGCTTCCGAAGGACTTTGACAAAACTGCAGGCATAAGTGAATAAGTTTAAAAAATCTTAACATAATAAATTTTAAATAACTGCAGTACTTCAGATGTAATGGCCTAACAGTGTTCACTCTCATCACTTCTACAGAGACCCTATGGTATTTTTGTTTATCAGTACAAAACGTGAAAAAATAATATTACCTGCAATTATTTTCATTTTTTCAGTATCAGAATTAATTTCTAAACAATGGGCGGCTGTGATAATAGCCCAGCTGTGAATTATAGCTCCACCGCATAGTCGGCCAATGTTCAGGAATTGTACAGCAAAAGGATATTCCTCGATGTCAACACTTTCCCCGTTAATAATTTTCCCCTCAATTTCACTTTTTTTATTCGACTTTAAGTTATACGTTGAATCGCAAATTAAACAGTTCAAGAATAATAATATTATAAAGTTTCCAAATAACATCAATGTGAAAAACATAGAGGATTTATATCGTAATCTGTTGAGTATTACATATCTCGGAATCAATATTCGGCGATGATTGAAATTTTATTATGCGTTCTACATGAGTGCATACGTAAGAGTAGGAGCATTAAAATTTTACAGTATGTATGTGTAACAAAGCTCTGTGTGGGTTACTCCTACTCCACGATAACACTCCGCTGTAAAATAATGTACATTGTAATAAATCGTCTGTGTATAATCTACCGAATATCGTTGAGTTTCAAATTCTAACATTAAAAACAGCACACAGTTTTGAGTAAAATAAAAGTTCAACAGTACAGATGCAGACTAACACTTCAAATCCTCTAAAAGATTGTCGTTGTAATTTTATCACATTTTCAGTCCGATTGTGTATAAGGCTAAAAGATCATAACAAAGTCGCAAACAACGAACGTGTATTTGATAGATGAGTTTCGGGTATCTCTAATCTTTGTGAAGCTGGTTCATTCTGAAAACAGTAAAAAATAGTTATGTGCATTAGTGAACCATCAAAAAGTATTCGTGTGGTGTTTCAAATCAATTAAGAGAGTAATTTCTTTGACCGAGCCATCGATTTCTTATAGATTGATCTTACGTACATACAATACATAAATTTAACGAAAGGTTAAAATATATACGTAGATAATGAGGTGTAATTTAATTAAGTGACTTCAGACATTTCGTACTTCCTCGGATTGTTTCTTTGGGTCATTAAACGGAAAGTCGTGGCTATACATTTCTTTATTCGTGGAATTATTGTTTTAATGTTTGCACATTTATGGACTTAATTAAGTACTTAAGAATAAATAGTTGTAAAACTGTTTTTTTATTAAAATTATTATGACGTCGTTCGTGTTCGTGTAGCAGCTTTTATGTTATAATTAAAAGTAACCAAAAATACTACTGGATCGACCAAATGATTTATACAATACTGAGATCATATTCGTCTCGCCTTAGTCATAGAAATGATGACGCGTTGATAACCCTAATTAATAAACATAGTCCTGAAGTAAAAGTATTTAGTTGCATATGTTACCAACGTCACCATAATTCAATGGTGATTTCTAAACAACTTATTATACTTATTATTTGTAACGGTGTAATCGTGAATCTTTAAGCCTCTGGCCTTATACATAATAGAAAACTTACCCACTGCCACCAAAACGTAGAAAAAGAGGACATCCAGTTCTTACTTATATATTTAATAAAGAAAGGACAAATGACTAAATAATGTTATATTGTATTACTGCTTTACTCTTACACACTTAAGTCGATTCTATATTCTATGAAGAGGCCATATTTTAAAACTTTATTACGGCGTGATGCGGCGTTTTAAATCCATACACTGGTAACTGTTTACCTCCTCCAAAATAAAAATGAAGGGAAAAAGATCACTGTGTACTGTTTTCGTTACCCCTAAAATCGTTGTCAAAATGACAGTGTCGTCATAGAGTTTGCATGCCAAAACTAATTAATCACTTGCTTACTGTGTATCAATTTAATCAATTATCTAGCAATCTAAACCAATTTCGTGAAAAGAGTTTCTTCTAGCTCTGAATTTGCCATTGCAGTAGTCCTCATTAAACTTCATAAAATGTTTCTCGATCCAATTTCTTAACACCCAGAGGTTTGTGTAAATGTTTGGTTTACCTACACGTGCGCATCCTTGGCCGTGCGATGTGATACCAACCAACATACTGCAAAATAAATTAAAATTGTATATTACGACATATTCTGAGAAAAATGAGATCTTGAGAGTGAAGCAAACGAACAACTTGATACACTGCCTATTTCTTTAAGTTACGAAATTATGAAGAGATTTAAACATAAGTTAGACTACAAAGTCAAAAATACACTTAGTAGAAGTAGTCGTATCAATTATTTAACCGTGTAGTGTATAATGAGTATCGCCGTCCAGGGACAGCCGTAACTAGAGATACTTAGTGCATTGCCGCTGTTCATAATAATTATGAAGGAGGAGGGGGTTAGGCTTCTTATAACCTCAGCCACTCGTTGAAAAACAACGAATAGATTAACACCGGTTTTCTATGAGGTTGTGGCATCACTCCGGCCGTGGTATTGACGTCTTAATAACAGTAGTTCCCAGATCTCTCCCATTTCAGGCGCAGAGTGGCACACCGTGTGGGTTAAGTCCCGCCGCAACGGGGTGACGGTCCGATAAGGTGGCCACCACCAATCTGGTTCTCCCACCACGAAGAGCTATACTTCCTTTCATAACATTTACTATGAATATGTTGATAGAAATCGACTTTATTGTATGAGGTACGTTTTAATTGTATGGAAAACCGTTCTATGGAAGCAGCGGTAGAAAATAAGTGGTAGCTAGTGGCGTACTGTAAATGTTTAAATGTTTCCAGTCGCGACAGTGAAATTAAAAGATTAGACAATTATGTATATTTGCGAAAAATATTAACTCGTGACTATATGATTTGGGCGCGCGTGATAAATAAAAAAACAGTTGCACACTCTCAACTGTTGCTCACAGTCACGTAAATGACTTAAAACCCAACAGTAAAAGATTATACATCGACTTTTAGAAGGAGTTTTTCGACTAATTCATCTATGTACGTATGCCAAAAGTCGCAACAGGGAGTTGAAGGGTACAAGAGAAGAGGAAGACCAAAGAAAAGGTGGACGGACTGTGTGAGTGAGGATATGGCAAGGAAGGGAGCAAACAGTGAAATGACAAATGATAAAGTAGAATTAAAGAACCATACATACCGCGCCGACTCAAAACAAAATTTTGATAAGGGTACGCGAAGATGATGATGTTTTAAGGGACCAACTAATCTTTCAGATAAAATTAATTTCTAATTAGAATGAAAGTACCTGGATGACCGAGCTTAACTCGGTTTTTTTTAAATTAAATTTTCTTTAAATAAAACCTAACTAGATCGATTAATCGCCCCCGAAACCCCCTGCATTTAGAACTACATTGAAAATTATGACTCTGTCCTTGTGCTGACATATTATATTATTCAGTAATTGACACATTCAGTTCTATCAATGTGATTATAATGATAAAAACGTGTGTTGTTGCAGGCTTTAGCGGGATTATAGTTTTTTTTTTGGATTAATTGATATTAAGTCCTGATATCGATCTCATTATTATCGTTATTAATTGATTTGTAATATTTACTTGCTGTATCCAATGTCTTACTTATTTACTTAAATTTAATGTGAATTTCAAGTATAAGTAAAAATAATACACTCAGTCAAAAAAGTATCGGGAATGGATGATTTGTTTATGGTTCCAAATCCAAATTCAGATACGAACAAATAAGATTGTTTCTTCTACTTCTATTACTATTATAAACTAATTATTGGACGTCGAGAATTTCTAATAATAACTCTTCCATGTAGTGACGGATTAAGAATACGGAGTGTCACCACCCTTATTCATCAAGTGGGTGTCGTAAGAGCCGACTAAAGGATCAAACTACGCAGGACAGCAGCACTGCAAAGGGTAGGGAAACTTGACACAAACCCTATACCAACCGGTCTGCCCAGCGTAGGCCACAGTAGGCCAAAACCTCATTTTTAAGGAGAGATCTATGTTGAGCAGTGGACTACGAGTATTAAAGGCTGTTGATGTGAATAATGAGACTAGTTAAAATTCTAACAAAGTGTTTTCGAAAAACTCTAAGAAGTGAGAGACAAATACTAAATTTAGATCGGGAGTTTTAGGACTTTCCAAATAATATTTGACTAGGCCACTGACAAGAAATCGACAAAATGTGGAGATGAAAGAAAGAATATTTGTTTTTCCCAATATCTTAAGATCTTCGTATAGAAAGTATGGGACGCTCTACTAGAACATAATTTATATTATGTTGTATTAAAAAGTTGTGCATCTTTTACTAATTACCAAATTGTATGGAATATTTGTGATTTATGTTATATAAATATAACAACGAACAAATAAATAAAAACCCTACTAAACCCAAATTCAATTCTTTGGCTAAGACATTACCTACTGTTTCAAAATTTTGCACTATGAGACTCTCTATTGTGGCACTTTTCTTTATGGTACTTTGGTAATTACCATTAATAGGTCGACTTGACCGGAGTGATACCACGGCTTCATGCAAAAACGGTGTTAAGCAATTTTTTCGCTGATCTTTGTTTAATACTCAAGAATTTTTTTATAATGCTTCTTACTTGTTCCAAAGAACTGCACCACCAGAATCTCCACGACAAACGTCACGTTTTCCGTCTCCATACAAACAGAACATCTCTTTAGTAAGCTTGTAGCCGTCATTTAACTTGGAACAATCTTTTGGCATCACATACTTTAAACGAGCCATCTGAAGACCAACATCTGATACTTCACCATCCTCCTGAAATTAATTCCATATGGAATAACTGTTAAGAAACCCTTTCAATAATCCTTAGCTAAATTCTAAACATTTATGTTTGTTGGTTTGTTTGTTTGTTACGCTTTTACGCCTAAACTACCTACAAAAAACTTATTTTTAATAAATTTAAAATTAAAAGAATACAATAAACTCTACCTGGGTATAACCCCATCCAGTAACGGTAAAGTTATCCTGTCGTTCATTCATCCATTTACAGTGATTCACAAGAATGGCCCTCTGTGTTCGAGTACCGAACTGTATTGATTTCTCAGGGAATACCAACGCAATATCGCATGAAAACATCTCCTCATCACTGTACTCTTCGTGCATCACAAATGTCAATACCTTGTACCTATCAGCGGTGAAATCGTAAACATAATTTGTACCTGTTAAATAAATAGTCATTTATACCAAACGTTTTTTTTAGTTAATGACTAATAGATTTCTGCAGACATCTTAGAAAAGTATTACCATAGTTAAAAGGCTCGCACTGCCTGGCAATAGCATCGACAGATACCTAGTCGATTACTGACATTTTCCAATCCATCTGTGCAAGCAATGTCCCTTTTCGTCCACTGCCTTCCTATCTTACCAACTTTTCCTTTTAAATTTAACCCTAAATTTTCCCATCTAATTCTTAAAGTGCTCAGTTGACGGCCTTCAGATCTCCTATTAGGTAAGTGGTATTCAAATTATAATCGACAAAATGATGGCGTTTTAATACACCTCTGTTTACTCCGGCCTGGATATCTGCGTAAGTATATGTGTTTATGTATGTGTAGCAGACTAATGTGTAATCTGGGTGGACCCAGCGTCGCAACGAGACAGCTGTACACGGGGGTTGTTCGGTCAATGGCACTGTATGGCGCACCGGTGTGGGCAGCGGCTCTGACCGTCCAAAATAGAGCACACCTTTGGCGTCCTCAGAGGGTATTGGCGATTAGAGCCATACGTGGTTACCGCACCGTGTCGATGGAGGCAGCGTGTGCGTTGGCCGGAACTCCCCCGTGGGATTTGGATGTGCTCGCCGAAATATAACGGCGGACGACTGAATGCCTGTCGGTTAGCAGCAGTCTGCCCCCTCCCGAAGACGTCCGCGAGTGGCGAGAAGCCGCTCATCGAGCCACGCTGACTCGTTGGTCGTCACGGCTGGTATTGCCGCCGTGGAGGCGCTCCAGCTGGTCATCGCTGAATGGGCAGGACGGCAGCACGAGAGTTATCCTTTCCTTCCGACTGACGCAGGTTCTTTCCGGGCACGGCTGCTTCGGGAAGTATCTGCACTCGGTCGCTAGGAGGGAACTGAGTCCTGCCTGTCACCACTGCAATTGCAGTGAGGACTCGGCTCAGGACTCGCTGGCAATTTGCCTGGCTTGGACGTCGCAGCGTCGGGTCCTCACTGCAGCCATCGGAGGAGATCTCTCACTATCGGCCATCATACGCTCCATGGCGGGTAGTGATAGTTGTTTTACCGCGGTCGCAGAATATGTTATCTCGCAGAAGGCGGCGGAGAGGGCCCGGGAGGATAATCTCCACTTGTACTCAATTCGCCGCCGACGAACCGGGCGACGGAGCGATGGGCGCGGTTACCAGCGCCTGCATGAGGCGCTGGTAACCGCGCCTCCGGCTCCGTGAGTGTGAGCGCGGGTGGACGGGACGGGTTTTCCCCTCCACCCGTCATAACGGTCAGCCTCAAGGAGGCGACGTCCGCGTGTGCCAAACGTCTCCTAAATAGAGAATGTACTTGAAGCTGGTGCCCGCGCCGTTGCGGGCAGGCGCTAGGAGGGGTCCGGATGTCCTAATAAAAGCAGTTCCCGGATCCCTCCTATTACAGGCGCAGAGTGGCACACCGTGTGGTTTTAATCGGTTCGATTGCTGCCTTAGTCGGCTCTTACGACACCCACTTGTTGCATACTCCTATTCGTATTCATAATCTGTCACCACACAAAAATTTCGTACTCACACCAGCTGTTTCTTGACGTCAAGATAAGTCTATAGTTAAAGAACTTACACTTTTGAATTTTGATTTAAATTACAAAGAAAAATATTCATTGAACTCTATTCCAAATAATAATGTTTTGTCTCGCCTTAATCATGGAAATGATGGTTCGTTAATAATCCTAGTCAATAAACATAGTTTTTAAATAAAAAAATTACCTGCTAGTATTAACATACGTTTAATATCAGTGCTGAATACTAAACAATGTGCAGCTGTCAGAATCGACCAACTGTTGAGAATCACTCCACCACAAAGTCTATCCGAATTCAGAAACTGAACGGTAAATGGATATTTCTCAATATCAACCACCTCGCCGCCCACAATTTTAGACTCAATTTTGCTAACAGAATGACTCATCTTAGCAGAAACATTTAATCGTGATTGTAAAAACGATCTACAAGTAACAAAATCAACAAAGGAGAAAATAATAAAAAAAGCACCAAACATTCTAGTGATTTTTGACATCGCATTGCATTTAAAAATGCACGATAGATAAAGTCATTTTTGCGTAAGTACTGTTACCTAATAACGAATGTACTGCTATCGAAAGAAAAATTAACAATCATTAGAGTTTAATTGCTTTATGCTATTTTACTAGGCTTTCAAAGAGAAAATGTATTCTGAAGTCGCATATTTACAATTACACATCGTAGTTCTGAATTGTGTGTCACGTACTGGTAAGTGACACCGATAACCTTCGATAGAACACAACAGTCGCTTCACTAGTAAGCCAAGCATCTGCATTTTCAAAAACCATCTTCTTCTGTAAAGTCATTACTTTCATGGAAGCTGTGTTCTTATTTAATTTAAATAAGAACACAGCTTTAGAAAAAAATGGAATATGATCATATGCGATTGGCAAGTTTATTAAATCTAGACGAACTGCATTAAAAATAATTTTGGGGCTCCATCCGCGTATATGTTACTCGCTGATAATTACTCGTAATGTAAGGGACAAGTAATTTTTAAATCGGTTTAATGATTTACGCGTGAAATGTGTGAAACAAACACGTGAAAACAAACAAACAAACTCACTTTCACATTTATAATATAAATAAGGATAGATACTTTAACATTGATCCTGTTGGAATAAAAAATAATAAAACAAAGGGTAGAAAAACATAGATTGAATAATTGATCACCCATAGACTTTCAACTCAGAACCGAATGTGGTGAAACTTTACACTTGATATGTAGGTAATAAGGTGACGGAAGCCTGTCGACTGCCAAAATTGCAGTGAAATGAAATGAAAAATTAAATGAAACGAACATTTATTTCACCGTAAAACATATTGACACACTTTACAGTAACACTATACTTGTGCTTCAGTAATATAAAGTTACCCTATAATTATCATGAATTGAGATTTGTGTAAGAATTTGGTCAGAACAACAAATTTTCTTTCGTTTGTTTAATTTAACACTGTGTGCTACCAACGATCTCTAAAATTTACGAAAAAATAATTTACGCTCGTTTAGATACCTATCTTAACTTAATTAACTTTCTTTCATTTAAGCAATACGGTTTCCGTGCTAAATCCAATACACTATCAGCTTCGATTGACTTGGTGACAGATCTCAAAACTAGTTTAGACGAAAAATGCATAGCTCTCGGGATTTTCATTGATTTGAAAAAAGCGTTTGACACTATAAGTCATGATCTGCTACTACAAAAACTATATAATATAGGAATAAGGGAAACCGCTCATAGTCTGTTTCGATCATATCTCACAAATAGACAGCAAGTTGTTCGGATTGGTAAAGTTCAAAGCAATACTGAAATCCTCAATTTCGGCGTACCGCAAGGATCGATACTCGGGCCTTTAATGTTCCTAATATATATCAACGACGTTCAAAACCTAGGTTTAGCAGGGGACATAACGCTGTATGCAGATGATACCAGCCTATTTTATTACGGTAGTAAAATAGACTCGATTATTAATCAAGCTCAAAATGATCTGTACACTCTCATTGAGTGGTTTCAGAACAATTTACTAACTATAAATACATCAAAAACAAATTATTTAATATTCAGTGCAAAAAACAAAAAAATTGGGCCACACTATCCTTTATATATTAACACTGAACCCATCGTCGCAGTTAGTTCTGAAAAATACCTAGGCCTAAACCTAGACAGGCATCTCACATGGCAGCCGCATATAGATAAAATAGAATCTAAGCTTTCAGCAATTATGAAAATACTTCGCGGTAACGTTCGCTGCTTTCCAAAATCCGTAAGATACATCATATATAATACAATGGTAAAACCTCATCTCGAATATTTAATAGAAGTTTGGGGAACAGCTGCTAAAAGTAACCTAAAAACATTGCAAATAGCCCAAAACAAAATGATTAAAATGCTCTTCCACTACAACTATCTAACTCCTACAAAAAAAATATACAAAGAAACACAATTGATGACTTTAGCTCAGATATATAAATACAATACATGTCTACTAGTACGAAAAATCTTAGACAAAAATATACATACTAAGCTAACATTTACAAAAAAAGGAAACACTCAAAAAAGAATAACAAGACGAAAAAATAATTTATGTTTAAGACACCCACGAACCAACTACGGAAAGAAAAATATTTTATATGAAGGAGCCCAACTATATAATAAATTACCAAATAACATGAAAGAAATACAATCAATCAACTTATTTAAAAAAACCCTTAAGTTCCACATCTTTAAAGAGTTCTCTAGTTTTTAGCATTGCGATTGTAATTGTGATTGCATAATTACCCGCTTGCTATTAGACACCGATACGTAATGCGACCCGACCTTTGTATTTTCTTCTTAATGTACCCACATTTTAATTTTGGTTATGTGATTTTGTACAATGCTTGGTGACACCGTCAAATGCGCTCGTAGATTATAAGTTTACTTTTAAGTTCATAATTTGTAAATCTCAATATAAGTGAATTGTATTCTTTTGAGTAATAAATATCTTAAACCAGAAACCAGAACACTGTATTCTCTACATCATTCATAACAGACAATAATTAACCCATATCTATAAGTCATATATTTTATGTCTGACGCCATGTTCAGTATGTAAAAATGACACCTTCCTTACCTCGCTTTTTTTCTTTCTTTTTCTCTAATCTCGATTCCATTTCATTAAAATAAGTAAGAAAATAATTGAAAATAAATATATTTATTGAGCTATGACACAATTGCCATAGAGGTCATTTGCTGCAACTTATCAATTACTTAGAGCATAATTAGATTAGTTAATTACTGCAATTTAGTATTCGTTTAAGTAATATAGAAGTGCTTCTTTCAATATTTTGCATTTTCAGTTCTTTTAATAAACCGTGTGTTGTTGCACACTTCAGCGGGATTACAAGGTTGTTAGGATTAATTGATATTATAGCCGTCCTGATATCTTTCTCGTAATTATCGATATTAATCAGTTATATGGTGTAGTAGTAGTGTAATTTATGAAAGCTTACCTCAGTAAAAATTGCTAATCATTTGAGTGTTAAATACTAAGTTAAGTCTAGGTTTTAAAAAAAAAATTGGTGAAAAACTGACCAAAAATAATTAAGGTTAAAGTAAACGAACTAAAATCAGTGTGTGTCATATCCCTCCAACACAAAGGGAGGATCCTCTGACCAGACGAGGTGATCATGACTGGCGGGCCGCGGCCAACGGTTGATGTTGGGAAGTTACGGATTACGCGATACAGGATTAGCAATTCTCATTCAATAGTTACTCCGTAGTTCGGTGTGTCTTCGTTAGATGGCGCTGTAGTATGTTTCTGGTTCTCTGTGGGAGTCGCTACAAGTGTAACCTTTTGTAATCTTAGTCAAGGCATACACATATACACCCAAATTGATAATTGTATTAATAATTTGATTTATTTATATGGTAAATTTTATGTACTTAAGATTGTATAGAGTGTTTTACTTAAAGTTAAAGCTAATAAAGTGAAACAAAGTTATGAACGCCGCCTGGTGTAAAACACAAAGCTACCGATTTCATTGCTATACATTTCTTTATCCGTGCAATTACTGTTTTATGTTTTCACTTTTATGGACTTAATTAAGTAATTAAAAATTAACAATGCATGCCGATATAAAACTGATTAATTTCATTGAAATTAAACGATTATGGCGACATACATACGTGTTAAACAAGTACGTGTTAACAACCTTTATATTTTAATTAAAATTACGTAGAAATATAAAAAATTGAACTCTATTCTGAATATCCCAGTTCGGTCTCGCCTTAATCATTGAAATGATGGAACTTTGATCAAGTCAACAGAAAATAAATAGTACATTTTAGTAGTAAGTTATTGTAAATATCTTTTAAATATATTTCGACAGTATACTGTTACCATTGTTAATAAAATAATTCACATAAGTTTGTTTGTTTTTACCTTACTGTCTACTTTTATGTAACTATTTTTATTTATGTATTGCAAGATAAACTTACGCCATTTTAAGAAAGTTTGTGAAGGTATATCTGCTAGAAAAATCAGTTTAATGATATGGAAGCCATCGGGATCATGACCTCGCCTAACTGAAGTAGTTTACACTAGTCGACTGAAACACCATTGATTTAATCAGCAATGAAGTCAAAAAGAAAGTCCTAGAAGACCCTGGTAGACCTAGGACTTAATATAGTCAAAAAAAATTGAAAAAATAGTTTTGCAATTTAAAATTCCGACCTTGCCAGACTTTATAATAGTTTGTTCCACAGTGGAGATCATTTTTTAAACACACTTAGATTTATATACATAATTGCAAAAAAAAAGTATTTGCAATTTTTATGTATAGTGTGGAGACAGGCGGTTTAATGAGGGTCTTCCAAATGAACTGAAAATATTGATGAACCTCAGTTATTGAAGTAAATTCTGTGTCCAGTTTCAATAAGCTCTAACATAACATCCTGCAATACGGTCACGAACAACTGATTTTAACTCAATTTGTATTTGGGACAAGGGTTGCTGCCTCCATTTTGATCAATCAGCGTGACGAAGGTTTTCAATTGTTATAATCATTTACTTTTCATCGCGAGTGTCAATCCCAATCAGAAGTCAATCACTTCTTCTCCTACATAACAAATTTAGAGGAAATGTTGTTGCATTAGTGAATTAGTGGGGAGTTGTTACTCATGTTGAAGTATAAAATTCTGCGGTAGTCTGCGTGAATTCGTCATAAACTTTGACGTTACGAACTGTGCCACAGAATGAAATTGCCAGCAACGAACTTTACACGTCTTTATATTAATTTATCGGCCATATGCTGGTAGGTGCTACAACAAAGACATGTTAAAAAATATTTTTATAATTTTCAGCATTAATTTTACAAACCTTAGGATGGACTGGAATCATTTTAAA